GTGCCTTAAGTTTATATAACAACAGATCCACTGAATTTACCTTGCAGATGTGGCTTCATACGGCTGTGTTCTGAGGCAAGGATTCGAGCGACAACTTGTAGCAGCTAACCCCGAAACAACAAGTTGTCCCCGCACTCACAGTATTCACTTCCTGTTTAGCCTTTCACAATAAAACCGGATACAACAAAACAGATTGTACCACACACACCATGCGTCCAACCTGTCGACACAATCTGCGTGCACTGACTACAGAAACTGAGCGCACAGATRAGTAATCCGTGCTCTCAGTTTAGAAATCCGTGCYCACGMATTTCRGGCGGCTGTTTTTCTTTTTTCACCACTGACCCCCGGTGGGCTCCGTAGAAATCAGTTTGGAACCTTGTTTATATTTGTGCCATTTCAGCCGTTTACCTGCATGTCAGACCAGAATGCAGCATAATTAATTTTTTCTTTTGCGATATAATTCCTGTCCAGTCCTGTGTGTGATTTGTAAATGGCAGTAAGTGGAAACCTTTTCCTTTTTGTGTAACAAAATAAAACATTTTTTATGACATGAAACAAATTGTCCCACCTTCCCTCTGTTTAAATATATTCATTTACTACTTTATTTAAACATGTCTGACCTAGAAACTGTGACTACAATAAGTGGACACTTCTTCTTAAACGTCGACAAACATCAGGGAATAACTTTGAAAACACACAACAATGAAGATTGTCTGTTATTGCTGATTTGGGACTTCGCTCCCGTTAGTTAAACCAACAGACACAGGAAAACTTCATTTTGAATAATATATTGCACTATTGTCACTGTCTGTTCACATATAGTGTGTTCACAACATTGTTGTGTTTGTTAATATATATTTTTTTACAAATTAAAAACAAACAAAACTTCTGGAAGATAAAACACAATTCATAAACTGACCAGCCAYGTTTACACATCTTATTAAACAGAAATTTAACTGACACCTGCTAACATAAAACAGTTTTTTAATTTTCCCTTTTTTAATTTTCTCCATGGAAGAACYTTTTTGGACAATTCGTGTTTTTCCTAATTTATTCATTGGACGTAAATAAATAAACATAGAACCATTTATTGCCTCAAATACCAATGTATTCTGCTTCATTAAAACACATGAAATGGGATCCATTGAGTCACGTTACTTCACAACCATTAACTGCATGCCGAAAAAGTAAACAATTAGCAAAAAAAAGTCTCAAACAAAACTCCATCCTTTTCTGGTTTACAGATGTTTTTTTTAACACATTTACTGTGAATCAATGAGAACGTGATGAACGGGTGAATCCTCACAAGTGGGAACCAATAAAAATGCAAATATTATCTATATACACCATATGTATCAAATATTAACAACTTAAAAGGGAAAAAAATCACTAAAATTTCGATATATGATTTGGATAATTTCATAAAAGTTAAAAATATGGCTTATACTCTTCTTATTTTACTCATTTATAGTACTTTTTAATCCTTCTGAGGCTATTTACAAACAAAAAAAGGTGGATAACGGGTGATGTCTGGTCTCATTCTGAGCGGCGGACATTTTGAAACGATGGTGAAAACGTTGGATCTGGGTCGGGGTCGCACACTTTTTAAAATCGGACAGGAAAGTGTCATCGAGACGGACGCTCTGCTCGAGATTTTAAAAAGTACGGCTCTCTGTACGAGATCAGATAATTTAGCACAAAGAGAAAATCATGGCACCTTGTGTGATTCCAGGACACTTCAGACTGAAGGGTTGGGACGGGTCAGGTGGGTGATGGACAGGTGTGTGATGGACAGGTGTGTGATGGACAGGTGTGTGATGGAGTGGGGCAGGACAGGCTGGTACAGCATTAATTTGATGGATGTTGTAAGAAGTTAAACGTGTTTCATCCAAATCTCTGTTACTTTTTATTGAACATATCCATGAGAGGCGCCGGGATGAATTTCATGACCGTGTCCACGATGCTCTCCTCCTCCTCRTCYTCACCGCAGCCGGTGGGGACGGCCTTTTTGGGGCGMGTGAGGCTGCCCTCCGAGGCCTGCTCCATGGCGGCGGCTGCCTCGGCCTCCTTCTCCTCCTTCTTCTTGATGCCGTACTGGAAAACAAAAGAAACATTTTGAGTCTGGTTGTGTCATTGTGTTCTTCTCTACATGGCTACATGACTTAGTTGTACAACTGTCAAGATTTATTTAGTAAAAAATTAGCAACATTTCAGGACAAGAAAGTGAGAAAAACAAATAAACAAGTTTTAATCCATTAAATCTGAAGGATTTCAGTGATCTGACTGGTTTTGATTGACAGGAGGAAATGAAAATACTTTGTCAAACTAAAAACTCAGGCCCACTTCTCTTTACAACCAGCTGAAACTTTACAACCAGCTGAAACTTTACAACCAGCTGAAACTTTACAACCAGCTGAAACTTTACAACCAGCTGAAACTTTACAGCCGATGACACTTTACAGC